GGCCACCAGGACAGGCTACTCCCTACTTTTTTTTTTTTTTTAAACATACAAGACAAAAGACTAACAGCCTAGTGAATCAGATTATTTCAACAGAGCATCTGATTCAAAAAGCTGTACAAATATACACACAGTTTCAACAGTCACACCAATCTCCTTATCACCAGCAACACATTGCGCAGTCACTAGGCCCAAACACACACACAGGATCCTCACATGCTCAACAATATCACGACGTCGCACACACGAAATTAAATCAAAAACCCACCAAAGACTATACACTTATCAATGTAACTATTATTCAAACCATACAACTATCCACGCTATTAATCCATATAAACTAACCGATCACATAACATTTCAACAAATTTCATCTCTACAATTATCTGTACTATAAATCAACTTTTGACTAACCAACTATATCACATTCTAGTAACCTCATCTTTACAGTCAGTGGTTATGGTACAGTTAGTAAGTGGTTATAATACAGTTTTAAAGTCACAGATCAGTTAGTAACAGTTATGGTATTATACATATAACATAAAACAGCAATTGTTAGTAATTTTTACACAATGTCAGTGGTTATGGTACATGTCAGTAGTTATGGTACCGTGCGCTATTTTACAGTTATACACACAATTTACACTCCCACTAGACAGCAGAGCTCTAACTTTCTAGTAGGACATACAAGTTAACCAATTCACCAACTACAATATATTTAACAACATTTACAATAATCCCAACTATTCTAACTGGCCAGCACCTCGAGAGCTTTCGATCTATTTATACACCAGAGATTCGATAAGTTCTTCGCTGCCCAGACACCACGTATAGCGAACTAGAGGGCAGAATTTACACAGTACCCAGCTAGTCTATTAAACTATCAATAAGCTAGTGGCTGGATTTACAACAGAGCACACTTAGTTAAGATAGGGTGAAATCTAGCAAACTATAATATACAACAGAGTATGCTAGTCTCCCGGTCCCCCCGACCTAGCGAACAAAATTTACACCCTAGATACGCTAGTCAAGACAGGACACCGGTGTCCGACATGAGCTATTTACACCAGAACTCAGTCTGACCCAAACCACCTATATTAGACGGGCTGACTACAGAGCGTCTAATTTCCAGATAAGTGTTGCGCTTTTCACTTCTTCCTTCTACTGAAGGGGCCAATACCAATAACCGGTTCCAAATATAAAACCCCTTGTGGGTCTACCGCTCTAACGGTATCAATCTCACCTGTTAATTTCTGGACCTGGGTTCACTCATAGACGGAACAATCCGGGACTCACTGCGCAGAAGCCGATGATCTCCTGGACAAAAGGCCAGTGGCGCCGAGACGAAAGGAGGTCCACGCAGTAGAAGTCCAGGATTGTAGCGTAGAAGGTTTGGTAAAAGTTTACCGTCTCAAATCTCTGTGCCAGCTTCCGTGCGATGAGGTTCCCGGCCCAATGCACCAGAAATGTTGCAGTGTAAGCATGCAGAAGCCAAACACAGAAATATTGGACACAGGTCTTCAGGAAGTAACAGGCCTTTATTCACATTACCGATCGGGTCTCAGATGAACTCCTGTTCCAAAGGATCTGAGAGACCAACACATAGTGTACATTCCTTATATAGCACTATAACTCCTCCCATTAATAGCTACACCCACATATACCTTTAACCAATCAATGAGCAGAATATAGACTTGTACATCTAGTCAAACCACATGGCTCATCCAAGACAAAGGAAATAAGTGCAATTTCAGTTCCTGCATTCCTGCACATGCTCAGTAAACTGATGACAGTATCCTAGCTACATGTAGCTAACCAACTGACACAACATACACATATGCCACATGGAGATTTTGGCCTACTAAATTTTGACCATGCTGGAATCCCATCACATAAACATAGCAGTTTCTCTGAAACATGTTTTCAGCTGCAGGGTTAAAACTAGAGGGACCTGGCACCCAGACCACTTCATTGAGCTGAAGTGGTCTGGGTGCCCATAGTGGTCCTTTAACTTTAATAATTCAGGCTAAAAATGATTGCAGTGGAGTTGGCAGAATTTCTTTCCCCAGATTTGCACTTTTTCTTTAAACGTTTCGATTTACCAATTAGGTATTTAGTCAATTTTATTGTAAACAAACTGATTTGTACCGAGTCTCCCACTCAGTTTGGGCACATTTTCCCCCATTATAGCCTACATCCCATAATTTGGAATTTAGTGAATAAACCCACTGAGAGTTATTCCCTAAAAAGGAAAACTTCAGAGAATTGAATGTTTTAGGCCACATTAACAGAGTTAGAAAATTTACAGTTCGGGTAATTTGCCCTAAAATGCACCATTTCCCAGTCGGTTCTGCAGAGCATCCAGATTAGGGAATAAAACAGACTCTCTGTATTTGGATCAGATTTTTAGATTAGGAAATTGTAAAACCGCCGGCATCCCTATACTGACATTCTGAGTCCTTTATTATGGTTTCTAGCTGAAGCAAACACTCATTGCCAAAAAAGGAGCCTCTCTGACATCGAGCTATTGGTAGAATCCAGAAACTTCTCAGTAAACATTCTAGCCTCAGGTCACTATGTATCTACAACATCCAACTCTGCACAGACAGCAATAAACACTTTCATTATTCCTAGAAAGAAAAAAGTCTATCATATCGCCGCACACAGCATTCCGCACAATACTCACTCGTGGGAACAGGATTATTCACCAAAGTGAATTTACTTCCAGTTAAACTAGTTTTACCTTGAATGTGAAATTTAGTAAAATAACCCTAAAAGTGAATTGAAAGCATCAAAATCAAGTCGAAATTGCTAAATATTTAAAAAGAAAAAATAAATATTTCTTTTTTTTTTTTTTTTAAAGGATGATCTAAGCCAGCCAGGTTTTCATTTTGACCTAAATTCTGAAATGTACTTAGAATTTTAAAAAATGTTCCACTTTAGTAAATAAAGTCAGAGGCTGGTGTCTAATTAGGAGGTTTAGGCGACTGCCTAAGGCCTTGCGGCCATCTAAGCCACTTTAAGGAAGACTATGTCGGGTCCACGGTCACAACACCAGGAGTGGGACCCAGCGGCTTGCTCAGTATGCTGCCTGGTGCAAGGCCCCTCCGTGCCATCTGCCTGGGATGAGAGCGCCCGTGGCTGCTGGACCATGTGTCTCACAAAATCTGGCAAATCAGAGCGTTGCTGCGGGTTACCAGGTCTTGCGAGACACATGGTCTGCAGCTCTGCACACTGCGGAGCTGCAGACCGGATATCACCACCGGACCACGAGGGAATTAAATAACGTATTTAATCTAACCCTCCCCCTCACTGTCACCCTCTCTCAGTATACCCCTTTCCTCCCAGTATACCCCCCTCACACTATCACCACCCTCCAGCACATTATCCCCTTTTCCCCCCTCCCTCCCACCATTCCCACCCACACCATTCCCCCATAGACCCCACAGGATCACACACACACAGTCACCCCCCCACACACACACACAGTCACGCCCTCTCTCAATGTGGTGTCATCATACTCACACACTGTCAGCCTCCCCACACACTGTCACCCATCACCACACTCATCCCCTTCCTGCATCCACACTCACATTACCTACTCCTAATCCTGTTAATCTCACCCCCTCCAGACTCACCTTCCCTCCCTTTACCACACTCACCCCAACCCTGCCATACTTATCCCATCAATCCCTCTAATCCCTTCACATTCTGCCATACTCACCCTGTCACAATAACCTCCCTTAATCTGGTCACATTCCCTCCTCCAACCATGCCACCTTCACCCCACTGATACTCACCCCACCCTAACTATGCCACGCTTACCCTGTCACATTAACCCCTCCAATCCTGTCACTTGTCCCTCCTACCATGCCACTATTGCCCTGACAAATTTACCTCCACTCTCCCTGTCACAGTCACCAGCTGAAGACATGCATCATACACACTTTATTTGGTAAAGGATTTAAAAAAACAAAAAACAAAAAAAAACAACCAAGCCTTTTTGCTTGTTTTCGATAACCCCTTCACACCAGTACTCATACATACACAACTGCCAGGCTATGCAACCATACCCCACACACCTGTGTATAAACGATTGGCATAACTGCAAGTGAAATGTATTTATTGCAAATTACGCTACAACTGCAGCCAGAGAGCTCACAATGCAGGGGCTCAGGAAGCCGTGACACTGCAAGCTTCTGAACAATGAATGCAGAGACTTGACTGCTGACCCAACCAACAACCCGTTGCCCCCAATAACACACATGACACCTCATTCTTGTGGATAAGGGTAACGGACAACAGCTTTATTTTAAGTTAACAATTTAACTCCAAATCTGCCAGCTGTTGGGTGTTTGCCCAACAGGCAGTTCTCACACACATTCGGTACTATGAGCCAACAGCCAGCTCCTCGCCATCAGCTCCGTGACGGCTGTCATCTCCCCAATGTCCTTTCTTCCTCTGCGCTGTCCAGGGAAACCGCCAAGCTGTGACAACACAAAAACAACAGCACAAGACCCAAGCCACAACACCAGAAACAGGGAGGGAGGGTGGGAAAACAGTTAGGAGCACTCAACTGATCCTGCCGACTGGTAAGTCCCCTCCCTCTCCCTTTCCTTAAGAACCCCCAACATTAGCAACATTGTATCTTCCCTAATCCATCCCACAATCTTGGGCAGCAGTCATGTTCCCCCTTCCTTATTATTCCAGGGGGAATCTGACTCTGTATCCAGCGCTGCAAGCCCGCCTTTCCATATAGCGAATGCTCCTTCTACACATACACAAAATACAATCCTATGATTTTATATTTTGGGTGTTAGTGGGGCCTCATGCTTGAATTTTGCCTAAGGCCTCAAAGTCTAGAGCCACCTCTGAATAAAGGATACATTTGTGTGCCACATGGGTGATTGTATATTACTCAGGGGGTTAAATACCTAGTTAAAGACTAGTTGTCCTGTCGCCTCCCCCCACCCCCATTCCCTTACTCCTTTAATCTACAGACACTTAGTATTGGCTAGTATGGTTTGTTTAAACAGGAGAATTCTTAGCAAACGTATTCACAGTCAACAAAAGCAAAAATATGGTTACAAGTGGACTTTGTCCATCCAAAGATGGCCGCTCCCTGGGTTTACTCAGTGAATTCTGGGAAACTGAGAAGAGAATTGCAAATTTTAGGACAATATAGATAAAATGGAAAAAATAAAAATACAAACGGTTCTATATTTTAGTTATTTTGGCCTAAAAAGGGAAACCCTTGGAAAATGTTACCCAATTCCAGATTTACGGAATAAAATGTGTGTTTTTACACCAAATTGTCACAGATTAAAGCCACACTATGTGAATACCCAAATATTAGCACTTGGAACAAGAGGTCCCCTTGTCTGGACATAGAGCGCACTTTGACGATACTTTGATATTACCCGGCTGTGATACATAGTATGTCAGGGAAGGAAATGATCAATGTGAAGTGCAAACATTAGCATATTGCAATACTGCAGCATATACAGTACACCAGGAATACAACTGGTGGAACAGCACCACCTAGCGGTTAGTAATATATTTTGTCCTTAAAGGGTAACTCCAACCAAAACATTGTTTTTGGTCAGAGTACAGGGTAACACTTCCTTACCCACTTCCTTCCGCCAATAAAACCCAAATTGCTAAAACTCAACTTCCAGAACGAATTGTCTCAGATCCCCACGGTATCCTTTAGATTGTAAGCTCACGCACTTTTGTATAAAATAGCTAAAATTAGTAAATGAGCAAGAAGAGAAAAAAAAAAATGCAACAACATGTATTAAAAGTCCAATAAATATTTTATTATGTAATAAGTACAAATTTAGTCATTTCTATAAAAAAAAAAAAGGGTAAAATTATGTTATACTAACATTCATTACAATTGAACAAGAAACACAATCCATTTCTGATCCTAAATCTGAGAGTAGACAATTTAAAGCAAAAAGGAAATTAACAGGAATCTGAGAACGATTTAGAAAATTCATGTATAATTTCATGATCCGGACACCGACCGACACACACACCTCTGATAGATTACAATCGTGGCTACTTTTTGCTCTTCAGCAATTTACTAATGCGTGATCATTTCAAGCAAAATGAATTGCGCTATGGAATGCCAGGAATATTTACTAAACCATGAGTTGCCAGGAATTTCACAGTTTGGGCCAAATTAACCAGACTAAAAATCAGAGGATGGGACTTTTTCCAGTCTGGTTATTGTGGTCTAAACTTTGAAATTCACTTACTGGGTAATTAACGAGAGTTTGATCATTTGTCAGGAATTCATCTAAACGTCAAAATAAAGTTCAGAATCCCCAAACTGCAAGCATTGCGGACTGAATTGTTCCAGTACAGCAGTTGTGGTGTTAAATGTGAAGTTTACTTTGAATTCCTAACAATTTACAGATTAATGAATAACTGCATTTCTATGCAAAAAAACAAACAAACACAATATAAAACCTTTTTAATCACGTTATCCTGACATTTGATATGTCAAGGTGTCAGAGACAAATAAAAAAAATAAAATAAAAACACGAACTACATAACAAAAAAAAAAAAAAACGCAGCAGTTCATAATCAAACATTTCATTTTTTTTTTAACTTTAGACTTAAACATATACTGAACATCTACCTGACTGTAGACTTTGGCCATTTAAAAAAAAAAAAACAAAACTAAAAAAAACCTGCTGTCTTAAAAGAACCTGATTCCACTATAACTGCTAACGCTGGCTGTAGTGGCTATGGTGCCAGAAGTGCCCTGTCCCACATTAAGTCTCCAAATAGTTTAATTATGACCTGATAACTTACCTGGATCCCTCTAGGTTGCCCATTTCACATTCAGTCTTCTCCCGCAGAAGCAGCCGGGTAGCTTTTAGAGACAAGCACAGCCGACGCGGGATGCTGCCCATTGAGAGAGCGCTCTGATTCACATTCAGCCAATAAGCACTGCCCTGAATAGTCCGGTTTCATTCTATAGAGAAATTCAGCTGCTCCTGGTAGATAACACCAGATTCTGGGAATGTGTTCAGACACCCAGTGAAACCCAGATAAGTTAGCAACATGTGCTAAAATGAGACAGCACCGGGGCACTCTTGGTACCATAATCATTCACAACAGGCTGTAGTGGTTATGGTGCTTTGAGTGTACCTTTAACCTTGGCACCCTAGGTGTGTTAGGGCTTGACTTACTAAGCATCATTGGAAATTAGTTCCCAAATAATTGGAGTGCCAAAGAAGCCATTACTGATAAAGAATCAAACGGTAAAAACTAACTTGTAGACACGCATTTGTTGCACTCTTCCTAAAACCAATCAATTAGCTTGACAAGGAATCATTTGTAATCGCATCGATCAGTTTAAAAACCAATCTGAAACATTTCTACGCCATTTTGAATTAAGATCAAAAGAATCAAGCAAGTAATGCATGAGTGTTAACTTGTTACATTTCCAATGATCTCCATCTAGTGGTGAAATTTTAAGTTACAAAATAGCATCTTACTTCCGGTGACCAGTGCTCAGTCTAGTTCCTATGCACATCCTGAATACCTCTGCATCACTACGGACTTCGCAGATTATTGACTTCTAACTGCCCGACATAAAAATGTCTTGTGTTAATGGAATGATCCTCATGCAGAGGGTCAGCTGATATTTGTAGTATGAATGGACGGACAATGTTTGTATACAGAGTTTAACGTAGAGCTGACGGGGTGTTTAAATAAGAACCACTAACTTACAATATCTGCTTATACTGTAAGTCAAGTACGCTTTGTGAAGTCACTTAGAATATATGACAAGTCTTTAGTTATAGAGCATATTAAAACCCCAGTTTGAAGATTCCCAATTCCAAGTCCACATTGTTGGAGATTCCTGATCTCTCTATAAACCGTAGAGTTGGATTTGCAAAGGCTTGAAGCAATCCGTCTGATAACTCGAGTGGCTGAAACCACCTAAACAACTGGTCCCGGACTATTAAAACCGACCAGGAATTATACACCCAGCCGCCATTTACAGCTGCGGACAGTTTAAGGCAAATGTATCAGCTTTGAAAAATGATTCAAAACAAATAATAGTAACGGCAACTGCTGGTAAAGGCCAAATCTTTCAACAAATGGATTTATTATTGCACTCTACATTAAAAAAATCATGGTCTTTATAAAACTGGTTATGGTAGGTTACTGAATAACCACTAAATTGAAAAAACAAAAAACAGGTATATGAAGGCTCTATTTGAAAATATTTTTTTGTGAATAAAATCTTCCAATAACGGCATGAAGTCAAAGGACAATTTACAATCCAAGTATAAAATTTTTAAAAATATAGGTGGTTATGGGTGTGGGCAGGCTTTATTTTAGAAATATAAATTTTATAAAAACTTAAAGTGTATTAAGTTGATTCCTACATTGTCCTAACTTCACGGTGTCTTCATCTACATCCTGCCATTGTCTGCTACAACAAGACTTGACAAGTTCAGGAAGAGATCCCTCTGTAAGTAAATCAGACATTCCTGCCGTCATCAGAAAAGTAAAAGTGCAAGGTAGGCTGTTGCAAATTTAAAAAAGTCTACAAGTAGTTAATGATCATCATCTCAACAGTTCAGAGATTTCTAAAAGTCTCAGAATGACACATTGTCGAAAAATCTTCAGCTGACTTTTGGGTCCACTGGGAGTGCTGTAACACGCGGCTTGTTAAGTCATAGTATGACCTCACTCACGGTCCACGAAGCGTACGTTGATCTTTCCAGCTGGGCACAGCAAACCGTGGGTTTTTGGGGAAACTGCTTGTGTTTTGGGTGAAACCTTCAACTCAAATTTTTGAAGCAACTGTTAAAAACAGAGTGACATGGTGATAAAGTTAAGAATTTTAAAATGATCTTTGATTGCTGCATGTGTTTGTTCTGGTACACTAACGTGGTGTATTACGGACTTTTTACAGTTTCTTTTACATTTTAAAGTCAGTAATAAAAGGGAATGTGTGTAAATGGGCTACTGGTGTAAATTGGAATTAATACTTTTAGCATTTAAAGGGAACAGATACAAACAGCTTATAAAGTGCAGCACTAATGAACAGATGTGACTAGTTTTAACTGGACTAATAAAAGTAACAAATATCTTTGCATGTAACACTCTACACTAAAAGGCTTGGCAGCCAACAAATTATTGTGACGATTCAAACAATAACTGGTTTCCTAGCTCTGATCGAGAAAGTTCTATCACCTGGATTAACGCAAGGTGAATCTCCAACTCCGCAACCCTCCTTCCAATGCAACTGCGAATGCCGTATCCAAACGGAATCGAGCCAAAGTTATCTACTCGATCCAACTTCCCCTGACGTATCCAGCGCTCTGGCCGGAACTCCTCAGCGGCAGAAAAATAATCTTCCTCGTATGATGTGGAGTAATGACAGAGAGCCAGCTGGGTCTGGGAGACAAGACAATATATTACAAACTATAGAATTGGGCAAAGAGAGAAGCATTTTCAGATCCGGATTATTAAACATCTGTATTAAGACAGACCAAATACTGCTCTAAAGTTAATCCAAAGAGTTTGGGCTTAAAAAAAAAAAGATGAATTTTGATTGTCGCATCAAGGTTGTTGGAAAGATTATGAGGAAGTGAGTTGTCCACATTTAACCAATTAAACAGTATAGTGTTAGGAATACAAAACTGTACTCAAACGCTACAGAGTACCTCTGTCTCCACACCCCCCTCAGTGTTGAAACTGTTAAAAACCCTTCCTCCCACCACCAGGGTCCCTCGGCACTGGATCAGTGTCCTTCTCCATCAACTTCATGCCGATAGTGGAACGCCTCACGTGAATTAGAGCTTCCCCATAGCAAAGATGTCCAAATGCAGCAAGCGCCTCTAGTGGGTGTCTGTGAGACAGCCACTAGAGCCAGTCTTAACCCTGCAATGTAAAGAGCAGAGAAACCGCAATGTTTTGTATTGCAGGATTAGGGGGTCAGGTACACTGCACCCAGTCCACTTCAATGAGATGAAATGGTCTGAGTGACTCTAGTCTCCCTTTAATTTAAACAAATTTTTTTTTTTTAATTTTAAGTCAGCTGATTTTGATATTTTCATCACTGGGGTCAAAGGGTTTTTGTTCTTTCCCTTGAGATGCAATTTATGAACAGGGGAAGGATTAAAGTTAAGTTGACCCCTCCTGACTCAAGTCTGTAGGAGATACAGCGGCTGGAGCACTAACCACTGAGCTAGCTAAACTGAAATTTAAATGAAACATCTGGCTAGATTTGTAAACATGTGCATCTGGAAGTTCAGAGTACAAAAATACACCCATTCTTTGTTGTGTAACCTTTTCAAAATAACTCACAAAGAACACGTTACTCACCCCTTTGGGTATAAAATATCCACCCACAACCAAGTCATCTTGGGTGACTCTTCCATTTCCTGGCAATACGGGGAATAACCTGCCGGTAAAAAGAAATACAAAAGAGAACAATTAAATAAATGCAGGAACTCTGACTGTTCAGGACACGTCACCCAACGTCTAGTCTCACCTTAATGTCTCCTTCAGGACAGCCCTAACCAGTGGCATCTTTGGAACATCTTCTGCTACTGGAGTCACGTCTTTCCCAAGGTTCTGGGCGATCTCCGCGTACACAGCCTGTTGGATCTCTGGATTCCAAGCTAGAAGGTAGGTTGCCCAGGATAGCGTGAAGGATGTCTGTATAAAACAAGCACCAATTTGGGGTGCATTTTATTAAGGGTGACGGGAAAAAAGAAAAACTAAAATTTACATACAGGAAGTTGGTAGTTCATTTTTTTTGTACTACTATGGAAATACATTTACGCACCCCATTATTGCTTTACTTGTGTCAAATGATAATCTTTTAGAAATAAAGTGACAAATGAAAGGACATTTAAATATTTTAATCAATAGTTCTGCACAGAGTTTTAAGGTAATGGGAACGAGGGTGCGACCGTTAAAGCTGGTTATAAAGGAGTCAGTGAGGCTCATCCATAGAGGCACTTGAGGCAGCACCACACTAGTTTTTAAGATGGGGGGAATATTTGCAGTACTTTAGAAACACTAAGATTATTTTTAAGGAGGGGAGGATAGTATTTAAAAAATATTGGTGGGTGGGGGGAAATTTAGTGTATTTGCTCTGTAAGTTTCTGTTCCCCCTCATTGCTAGCTCTATTGTGAGCATATAGACAGGTCACAAAAATGGGGCTGGTTTGAAATCTGCCCTGTTTCAGTAGGTTTTGTACATGCCTAGTGTCCTTTAAGAAGTAATTAACTTTGACTTGCCATTCGGACAGCAGAGCCAGCTGCCCATAAGTGGAGGCATGCAAAGGTTTGTGGGAAGTGGGGATTTCAGAGGATATCCCTGTTAATGTTCTGTTGGGGAATGATTTGGGCAGGATGCTCTGTCACTATGCTCCAGAGGACACGGTTTGTGAGCCAGATGGGCTGACTGCTCCACCTAAGGTATTGTGTGAAACTTTGGGAGACATTGTGAACTGTGATTGCTGGGAGGGATAAATATCTACCTGTAACTGAACCAGTGATGTCTACCAAATGTGAGATAGGGGTGAGTAGTGATGTGCCTGTATCAAAATACTGTGAGGCTGGGATGTCAGAGAGTACGGGGGAGGAGGAAGGTGAGAGCCAGGGATGTGTACCACTAGTCGCAGTGGTAACAAGTCAGCAGTGGGTCAGGGCTGCAGCAGGAGAGTCTGAGGGGCTATGTGAGAGGATGGCCTGCCTTGGAGAAGAAAATATGTGAGTGTGTGCAAAATTCTGTATCCGATCAAGGGGGGTCAAATGTGTCCTGTGAAAATGTATGGGAAAAGCCTTCCAGCGAGATTGGGCTGAATGAATATATGTCCCAATATGTGCCTGAAGCAGATGTATGTGATGCACTGGGTGAAAATGTGAAGGGACAGCAAGGCTATGAGGGAGGGCAGAGGGTGTGGGAGCTTTACTCTGCGCCAGACTTAGCCAGTTTCCAAAGTTCTGTATGTCTGATGACCTGGAGTGAAAGTGAGGGGCACGGACAGACTCAGCCTGTGGGTCCAGGAAGGATGGCTGCAGGGAAACATACTGTTAGATGAACCAGGAACCTTGTCAGTTTATCACAACTCACACATACACCTAAGCAACTTTCTGATTGTGAACCAAAGGTTCAGAGTCTGATAGTGCAACAAGCCCAGCAGACAGACCCCAAAATGAAAGATGATGGGAGTTGATACAGCACATCTATCCTGGGAGTGTTCTCTGTCTGCTTTTTTGTGTGCTTACCGGGGAGTGCTGCAGAAATCCATTGGTTTCTTCCCCTTACAGCTACTACATGAGCGCAGTAGGTGTGGTTTAAGGGATGTTACCAGAGATCGATGGGAAATTGAAACAGGCAAATCAGGCATGTTTGTTGAGGATGTAGCTGTGGTATGGACTGATCACAACCTGCTGCAGGTGACAGGTAACAATGATAAACTGCTCCATTGGAGCCCTATCCTCCAACAGTATAATTTCATTGCCCAGTACAAAAAGGGCAGCTTGCATGGGAATGCAGATGGTCTGTCTCTGCAGGGGGAAGTAGATGGTTAATGGTAAACAGATTAATCAGACTGTGGCTGAATTTTTCTGTCCACCATCTTAAGGGGGAGGTGTCATGCCAAAAGCATGAGTTGGTGTCTGATGTGTGTTGATATATGTTAAGAGTTATTTTTTTGTAAACCTTGGGATGACTTTTATTATGGTCTTTGATCTTGCACCAGGCCTAGACCATAAAACATCTAGATAGCCATCACCAGAGCTGGACACAAGGAATTGCATAGAGTGGGCAATAAACTGCCAGACCAACCCCCTCTGATTTCCCTCAGGTAACCAGGGGTCTGGTCTCATTAACCCTGTCACTTCCACACTCTCCCCACTGGGCCTATAGCCCACGCTCGTGACATCTACCAATAGCAATACAATACACACTACCAATAGCAATACAATACACAATACCAATAGCAATATAGAAGCTTTAAAAGGAATCACTTTGAAATTATGCCGTGTAATTAAACAATTAAAAATTACTGAGAATGTGTTAAACTTTGTGATGCTTCATTTTCTTTCAAATCGATACAAAGCAATTTAGCAACGGATAACATAATCCAGTACAGTTCTGGCACAGCTAAGGCAAACCATGCAAATGAGGAGAAATAGCAACATTGTTTCATTTCTCCTTTTCTCTAACCATGGGGTAGTCAACCTTTTGATACTTACCGCCCACTTTTGTATCTTTGTTGATGGTAAACTTTCCTTACCGCGTAACTACTTTTATAACGCTATAGTACATTTGTTTAGAAAGTTGGTTTTTTTTGTATTTAAATTAAAGGGACACTATAGTCACCCAGACCACTTCAGCTCAATGAAGTGGTCTGGGTCCCTCAAGGTTTAACCCTTCAGATGCAAACATAGCCGGTTCAGAGAAACGGCTATGTTTACATTTGGGGTAAAGCCAGCCTCTAGTGGCTGTCTTCCGGACAGCCACTAGAGGTGCATCTGCGACACTGGAGGCATATTATGCCTCAATCGCACAGAGCGTCTATAGGAAAGCATTGAGAAATGCTTACCTATTGACAGCTTTAATGCGCACGCAGCACTTGCGCATTCGGTAAGCTGCTGAAGGGGTTTTATCCCCTTCAGCGCAACGGGAGGGGGACCTGCTTTGTTTTCTTGAGACTATAGTGATCTTTTAATTTAATTTTTTCCTCTATTGTACTTTTTTTCTGTGTGTGTGAGGGTTGCAGTGTTGGGGTTTATGTGTGAAATGTGCATATGGTCAATGCTGTGTGTAGGTGGGTGAGCTGTAAAAATCTCTATTATTGACTCCCCCTCTCTTCTTACCTTTTACCAGGGAGGTGGCACATAATGCTGCAAGCCCTGGTGGTCCAGTGGTTGCATGTTCACTTTAGCCTGCATCTCCTCCGGCTGCAGGCGGACTCTCTTGTCAGCCTGCAGCCGGAGCACAGCATGGTATCAGAGCATTGCCATGGTAATGCGCCCTTCTGGCTCTCTGCTGGAATTAAGTGCCAGCGGGACAGTGAGGGAGATCTTTGATCTCATCACCAGCCCGACTGGGCTTATAGAAAGGCTGGCAGGCGAGATAAAAGGATCTCCCCTGCCGGCCTTGGCACACAGCCATCGAGGCCCATCGGGCGTTTTCCGCAGAACCCACCACCACCCACCTGAAATCCCAAACCTCCCACTAGTGGGTATTAGGAACCAGGTGGACTACCCCTGCTCTAAACGGATGGCGAGGTGCAAAGGACAGAGACAAGTATGTATAAAAATATTAAAACATTTCAGAAGGTTACGGTTTCCATTAAATCATTTAGAACATAAAAATCTCAGACTATAAAAGTCCTTTAAAAATCTCAAAATTTTAAGAAGGTGTTTATTACCGTGTCCACTCCAGCCAGAAGCATTTCTGTCGTGTTGGCATAGATCTCCTCCATTGTAAGCTCTTTACTTAGCAAGAGAGATGTTAGAAGACCTCCCTGGACGTCTTCACCCGAATTCAAGGACGATTCAATTTCCTTTAGTCGATGATCCACATGTATCTGGCCTAGAAACAAAAATATTGAATAAGTCACCTCTTCTCCAGGTTCTCTGGTATCTCGGCTCTTTGTCCATCACTCAGTCCCCTGACTAGTCTTCTCATCCCACATCTTGCAGTATTCTTCACTGAAGTGAGAATTTAAGCCAGAGTAGCAGAACTGAAAGTGCAGCTGGCTTGGAGAAGATTTCTATTTAGTAGGTTTTAACTTTAAATTTGAAATTAAAGTGTATTTCAATTTAAATTCTCACTTTTGTGAATATACACGATAGTCCCTAGTTTTCTCACCCAAGTTCAGCCTCCACCATATCCTTCCATTTAGTGTGCAATGGTCCCATCCTGCCCTTCCATATTTGCCGCTTGCCCTTCCTGCTCCACAATGTATAGTCTTAGTCCCTGTCTCACCCATTAACCTTGACTCTTCCACCCATAACCTTGTAGCCACCACTCATACTCCCAGGAAACTCCTCATTTATCTTCTTACAGAATTCTCCCTATTGGAGGGGAGGGATGTGTTAAGTTCTCCATCTCTAAAAGCAAAGAACATGTTCGATCTGCTGAATTGTCATTTTATCAGTGATTTTTTTTGATCAGATATGGATTCCATACTGTGGTCATAGGAAAGGAATGAGCTAGGAACTATATGGCAGCTTTCTCAGACACAGAAAATATAAAAAATTGATATGGGGGGGTGGAGGGGGGGGGGTGAGTTTGGATATTATGTTTTTGCCAATTAAAGCTGCTGCTAAACTAGCTTTAGAGTACATCTAAATCTGGAAGAATGCTCGGGACTAGCATATTTAACCAATAAAATTTAAGTCACATTTCTGCTCAAACCTAAACCACTTTTTTTATAGCAATATAATTTACATCAACCATTACACTATAATACTGAAAATCTTAACCCAAATTGAAATATTTGGGGTTTTCAGAGACACGAGGCTAACCAGACTATCCAACCATTATTGCAGACAGACTATTAAGAGAGTTGGATCCTTACTAAATTTGAAAAGTCCATCCCAAGATCGACAGAACTCTCTCCACGGTTTTGGGATCAAGGGTCTCAGCCATTTTGGGATGGCTCCGGCGTACATTGTGGTTTTAAACATACTGAACATTAATTCCAAAGCTTCAATGTATTCTAGAGTTTGCTTCGGAACGTCATCATCAAGGCAGCCCAGACGGCACTCGTACAAGATGGTAGCAACAGCTGGAAGCATAGAAGGAGAACATTTCTAAAAAACTGAAAGCCATGAAGCAAGAGTTATCTAAAAGGATGTGCCTGATACCCTCCGTTTTCTGACTCACCTTCCATTGAGTACTTGAAGTAGAGGTCGTTGACGTTGGTGACTGTTTCACCATCTTGTTCCTTGGATCTTAGGGTGTAAATCCTTTTCATGAGGTCGGTGACCACATTGTTGATTCCTTCAGAGTATATCGCAACATCTTTTGGCTTGAGAATTTTCTGCCTTAAAACACTCCTCATAGACAGCCATTTCTTCCCTTCCCTGTATGGACAAACAGGTTTTCATTATTATTAATGAGCAAGAGACAAGCGTGACCATAATAAGATAAATATGGAATTGTAGGTCCACAGTTGTTTAAATATAACTTTGCAATTGACACCAAAGATGAATAGATTTCACTTGTTAGGGTAGATGATCACAGACTCCGAACTCACACTATTATACCCCACTCCCCTCCAAAGGGATATTATAAATAGGAGATACTATCTCCCAATTTAATGTCACTCACTGTACACAACGTTTCAAAGGGAGCAGAATAAGCGAGGATGCGTGAAGTCCCAATGTTATCCTACTATTTCTTAGAAATTATTTTAAGATGCACTGTGAATTGAGAGAGTGTACAATCACAGAGGGCTCAATCTGATACCTCGAGCCCTGTGTATCCTTAAACGAATACCAAGTAACAATCAGAACAGGTTATTATAGTAAACAGGTTTTGGGTGCATTCCTTCTGGTTTAGTCAACTATGGAGAGCAACCACAAGCTATGGGCACTGAGGAAGGAAGATATTTCTTCTGGTCCCAATATGGAGGACATCATTTACATAGGTTTGATGTGTTAAGTAGATGAAATATATTAAAATTAAATTTAGAAGTGGATGCTCACGCAGATATTAGTCCAGTAGATCTACCCCTCAGGTCTCTGTACTCTTCCCACGACTCCATGTTAGCTCTCTGAGGAGCCTCTCTCTCTGCACGTAGTATCTGGGCAACCATGTCTCTGTCAGCGATGGACACCACGAACTGAGGTCCAAAGTGAGACTTAAATATGTGGCCATATTCACAGACATGCTTTTGCTGAAAGAAAATAAATAAATCTGAAGTGAATATAATTTATTTTATTGTATTTAAAAAGACAGAATTTTACCTGCGACAATAGCTAATGATGCTATCCAGGATAACATTAACAGAAGAGCAATGAAATATCCATATTCTGCTGCAAAAAAGGAAAATTGTGCACAAAGTGTTTAACTTTAACATGACATCACACACTACGCAAAGGGACCGACATGACATCACACACTACACAAGGGACCGACATGACATCACACACTACACAAGGGACCGACATGACATCACACACACTACGCAGTGTGGTCATAGGTCCTTTACTACATATCTAACCGTGGTAACGGACACTCATTTTGGGTCGCTCACTAGTGATTACTACAGTCGGGATTATTCAAAAGCGTGAAGTCAAAGTCCATTTAAAATTTTAGGCCAAAGAACAGGAAGCATAGTTTACATGGAGAATTTCTCCAACTCTGCTAATTTGGCCTTAAATTTCAAATGCACCCTGAATTCTTACTTTTAGTCAGTTTTCTAGATGTAGTTGGAATTGGTACCAATGCAAACTATCCCACAATTAAAACATCCATAACACCCACCCCATTTTAATCTTTTCTATTCCAACATTTTTACAAATCATCTTAGAATTATACACCCTCCTCCCCGTTGCAACCCCCTTGTGTTCAGTGACCCCCCACTTAAAGGGACTCTCCAGTGCCAAGAAAACAAACCCTTTTTCCTGGCACTGCAGAATCCTGCAGTGCCCTCCTCCCTCCCATCCCCCATCCCATGTTGCTAAAAGGGTTAAAACCACTTCAGACAGACACTTACCCAACTCCAGCGCCGATGTCCCTCTGTGCTTGGTCAGGCTCCGCCCATGCCCCTCCTCCAGAGACCTAATGCGCATGCGCGGCAATGGCCGCGAGCGCATTATACCTCCCTATAGGAAAGCATTATTCAATGCTTTCCTATGGGGATTCCGTCGATGCTGGAGGTCCTCATGCATAGTGTGAGGACGTCCAGCGTCATTTAAAACAATTTTCGTGTTCTAAGAAGCCGGAAGTCCCTCTAGTGGCTGTCTAGTGTCTGATAGACAGCCACTAGAGGAGGACTAAACCCTACAAAGTAATTATTGCAGTTTATAAAAAAATTACACTTGCATGGTTAAGGGTGATGGGAGTTGGCAGCCAGACCACTCCAATGGGCAGAAGTGGTCTGGGTGCCTGGATTGTCCCTTTAATGACCGCCTGAATACTTCCAAGAACAAAGGTCAATTATGATTTCAACCAGCAAGTGGCGCTGCCACGCCAGAAACATCTACATTACATTCTCTGTAACTGGTTACGGTCATTAAGATAGCATATAGGAGAATAGTCTGGTTTCAGGTTATCAGAAAATAGCTACATAATTATCACCGAGACAGCATTTAAATATCTGAAATATAGATTTATAATAAAGGGGGGGATTTTACAGAATATTACCAAACTGCCTCTAATAAGCCAACAATTTTTGCCTCCTCCAAAACTGGCAGCTCCGACAAAGGGTTAACCAAAAATACATTAAAGATGAGCAGGAACTAGGGTTTCAAAGTCGGGATTTGAGAATTTAATGAAAATTTCAAGTTTAAGACCAAAATACCAACAGAACAATTTGACAAATTTATCAACTTTCTATGTAAATTGTCCAAAATTCAAACTGTGATTTTACTACATTAAATTCCAAGGGTAATATAATATTGCAGACATCAAAAAATATAGTTACAAATGTACACCGCACCCGCACTTTTAGTGAACCAAAGGATCATGGGTAGAGTAATTTAATTTACATGAAATAACCTGCCTTTGCTTTCAGCAGGCAGTGTACATTTCCAATTTTATGTAGTAAAGGAGGCATAATGAAAATAAATGTATGATATCCAATTACTTGCTACTTTGTAATAACCCTTTTCTCCATGTGTATAAAATCACAATGCACAGCCAGGGCATGTACTGCTGAGAACAGGATAAAGAGATACATTGTTGTTTTTTTTCCTATACTGATGGACAGGTGCAGAGGGCGGAGCTTCTAAAAACAATTAAAAGGAAGCCAAGATGGCACCTAGTTTCTGTATGGGGTAGATAAAGCAAAGTGGATTTCTTCATTCAGTTTTAAAATTTTCAGGCCTCATAAATATTTTAGATTTTATTAAATATAGGGAATTGGAAATAGTATATTGAAAATCCTGGAAAGGGTCTGTTGCCCTTTAAAGATTGGCCAGTTTCGGACATAAGGGGGTTAATCCCACTCTGTCAGGTGCCAATGGCGAATTCCTTGCCAGGCCAGGCGTCGGAGGTGCGAAATGTGCCATCTGCTCAGTTTTACATTTTTAGTACAGCGTTTGCTACACTTCGTAAAAAGTCATCAGTCACAGCATTTTGAAGGAGGCAGAAGCGCGATGCAGATCGACAAGACTTTCACTTTGTTTAGAGAACATACGTCTGGTGGAAATTCGCTTTCTATCAAAATGAAATTCCCTTGGTCACACAGGCCTTCTCCAGTTACACCCCCAAACCACATACTACGCTCCACCAGCTGCTTGGCACAGAGCCCAGCAAACGCATGGGGATCAGTGGATTTTGCCCAGAGCTCATGGAAATAAAACTAATGTTGAGAAAAATATGTGGAGCATGTAAAAAAGCCAATTTTCTTCCCATCCCTGCGTCACACAAATATCTTAAGAAACAAAACCACCAGGTTGGGGTTACTGTTCGAATGCCTGCTGTATTATCTAGTCTGCTGCCACTAGTACAAGTTCTGGCTAATACCCCTGCTGGAAGTTTAAAAAGGGTTAAATAAAGAGTCCCATATCGCAAATACCCCTTTTCAGCGTGACGCTTGTTATCCTGTAACAAGCCAGACATCTGGGTGTAACGGAAAAATAAAAGTGGCTGCCAAATATAAATGGGCACCAGGACTTTAATAGAAATAAATTTTTTAAAAAAATTAATTTTGTTTAAAAAAAAAAAAAAAAAAGGCATGTATATTTATACATACATCTCAGACATACTCACACTAATCAGAAATCTTACAGGATTATTCACAAAAAAAATAAATTGAAAATAGTGAGTAATTTAAAGTGAGAGTTTCAAATTAATTTAAAAGGGTTACTCCGACCACTTCAGTGTTTTGATGTGGTCTTGGTGGGAGTCTGGATGTGTTTCTGCCTAATACGCTGCACAGAGTTATTTTTTTTTTATTGTGTACCGGGGGCTAGGTGCACACACTGTTGCAGGCCGCAAATTGGCAATTCTGTGCATATTTTACATCTTTGGTCAGGGCAAACAGCGTGCTGACAACAGACAAAAATCTTTGTCCTTCGTCCAGAGTGCCTATAAGGTGAAGATAACTTTCCCCTCCATTCCTCCCTACCCAACGGGAAAAGGTGTTTTTTTTTGTTTGTTTTTTTAATATCAAGTTAAAACATTGGGTATTTCAAAACCTCTACAGTCCTTGGAGAACCGTAGGGACGAGGCAACAAAACTGCAGAGCTGAGAACACCTTCCCTAATAACCAGTTTTTCACATCACCATCACGATCATAGCTCAGCTTAAATCTAAGAGATATTCCTACAGGTGCTCCACTTTAGCAGCCATTCTGGTGTAATCACAACCAATGGCGGAGGCGGCAGCCATTCTGGTGAAAGCACACCCAATGGCGGAGGCGGCAGCCATTCTGGTGAAAGCACACCCAATGGCGGAGGCGGCAGCCATTTTGGTGAAAGCACACCCAATGGCATAAGTGGCAGCCATTTTGGTGAAAGCACACCTAATGATGAAGGTGGCAGCCATTTGTCAGTCTATAGTGAGCGTCAAAATTTCCCAGTCTTTTCAATATCTTAACGTCAGCTACTACTACTCCTAGACACTAATCTAGGCATCTCACCAGGCACTAACGCCATGGTTCTGGATTTGGAACAATCCCCCAATTCTACTAAAGCTTGATGGAGTGGTTAAGCTACCCAGTTTATGGCACTAAAGGGTTCGGGGACCCCTTTATTTTTTAGTCAAACCAGTGCTCTCTCCATCACCCAAAAGGCCAGCCCCATCTTCAGACAACATGTTAATGCAGAATGTACATGTTCTCGCGGTGAATTTCAATTCTCTTTGAAAGAGGTAAACCAAGAGAGATGGGGACAAAGTAGCAAACTACACTCATCTTTGGCAATTACGTTGTTAAGACTGGGCCTCTAAAGCCTTCATCTCCTCTATTTACCAAGAATGGCACCACCCACCATATATCTTTCTATCTCTACTCTGCAACAGCTTGTGAGGGATTTAAATGGATACAGATGAAATTTCACAGGACTGTGTTATTCACGTTTATAGCACTTCTGATTTTCCAAAAGATAAGGTAACCTTTGTTCATAAAAAACAAAAACAAAAAAACAGATCTTCAGAAATACCAAAGGAACATGAACACAATAAATCCAGTAATTTGTTACAGTAGTTATATTGCAAAGATTCTTTGGGTGATGTTCCCACAATTTGTCCCGAAACATTTGATCTGACACAAACCAAGCTTCTCCCAACACCGAAAACCCAGGCTCTCAGCTGAAGGTCAAAAAAGTGAGCTTCTAGAATATCAACCCAATTTGGACTTGATTGCTTAATGGAAAGAATTATCCATTACGCTTCCCCAGTGATTGCAGCACAGCTGTCCAAGGTTGGCCGGCACTGGACAGAGGCAGCCGTGTGTATTCCTCATTATCCAAGCAGCTGCCGAAGTGCCAGCCTTTAGGCGACAGGGAGAGACCACTTTTTTGTGAAACCACTTGCCTGCAGTTGAAAAGAATACTTTAGGTCACGTGCACCCACTGATTCTGATAACCACGAACCTTGCAATGCGCTGTACAGATTATGGTGTGTACAGCATCTTCTATGACAGGTGTAGACAACCTTCGGCACTCCAGATATTGTGAACTACATGTCCCATAATGCTCTTACAGTCATAATGCTGGCAAAGCATCATCGCAGATGTTGTCCACAACATAAGGAACGCCGAAGGTTGCCCACCTTGTTCTAGGAATTGGGGGAAGGTTACCACATCAATAGGGGTAGCAGTGGCCACTTGTGACACCTCAACGTGCAGTCTTTACTGCTCTGCCGAGGATACAAGAAAAACTTTGCAACGGAATGCTAGGCATAGTGGTTTAAATCCCAGGTTCTGATTGGCTGTCCATCAGACAATTACAGGGCCCATTTGTTTTAAAATAAACAAACTATTTAAAGACGATGGAGGGACAGGAAATGTCATGATAATGTTTGGGAGTCACCAGACAATTAGAGAGCACACGTGTCCTCCTTAAAAGTCAGAGTGGCACCCTAGAAATCTCTTACCCCAATAATCACATTTACTTCATAGGAACCATAGCAGGCGGATATAAAACTCCCAGCCGACACAAGGCATAAAGGGCGATTTTGCTTTCACGGAACAGCTGGTCCGTATTTTGACTTGGTTTCAAATCAATTATAAAATTTGTCTGAATTTTGTCCGACTGGTGGGCCATATACTAGGGTACAGTCCCTAAATGTTGATTATATTGAGTGAAAAGTGTCCAAAAAAAAAAAAAAAAAGGCTATATTTCATAACAAATAGATTTTTATTTACTGCCCCTCCGGTGTTTTCCTCCCATTGGCGGGAACCACCTTCTATCAGTGTACTACAAGACATATACATGAGGTTTATATTGCGTATATATATTTTACGGTACACAGGACATTTTCACGCCTTTTTAATTTACAAAGTAGTTTTACATTAAGCATTTGCAGGGACTTTAGGACAAGCGGAAACACCAAATGGACAAGATTCAGTCCGTCTTACCAAAACAAAAACAAAAAAAAAATTCTGATGTTTCGGCTAAACCAATTTTTTACACCGTGCCCAGATCTAATTGGCATCACACAAATAATTGTATTGTTCGGGCACTGTTGTATAGCACCAACGTATACCAAGCAGCTGCGCAGTCAAACTGCATTATAATGGTTTTATTAGAGTAAAAATATCAGACTGGAATACCAACCTGTACTGTGCCAGGTATACAGGGTGCCAACATAGGGCCTAGACTACCCAAACCCCAAATACCAACCTGTACTGTGCCAGGTATACAGGGTGCCAACATGGGGCCTAGACTACCCAAACCCCAAATACCAACCTGTACTGTGCCAGGTATACAGGGTGCCAACATGGGGCCTGGATTGCCCAAACCCCAAATACCAACCTGTACTGTGCCAGGTATACAGGGTGCCAACATGGGGCCTAGACTACCCAAACCCCAACCTGTACTGTGCCAGGTATACAGGGTGCCAACATGGGGCCTGGATTGCCCAAACCCCAACCTGTACTGTGCCAGGTATACAGGGTGCCAACATGGGGCCTGGATTGCCCAAACCCCAAATACCAACCTGTACTGTGCCAGGTATACAGGGTGCCAACATGGGGCCTGGACTACCCAAATACCCACCTGTACTGATCCAGGTATACAGGGTGCCAACATGGGGCCTAAACTACCCAAACCCCAAAGACCAACCTGTACTGATCCAGGTATACAGGATGCCAACACAGCACACAGTCTACTAAAATTCCCAATACCACCCTGTTCTGTGCTGGGTAAACAAGGCGCTAAAATGAAGATGGAGAAATCCCAATACTGCTCTGTGCCAGGCATAAAATGTGCCAAATGGGACCTGGACAACAAAGACCCTAATACCTGCTTAAACTGTGCCAGGCAATACCTCCCTGTACTGTGAGGCACAGAATGGTCAGGTGTGAGTGGCTGCCCATGGTGGGAGTGGTGCTGGGAGTGGCTGGCCATGGTGGGAGTTGTGGTAGGAGTAACTGGCCATGGTGGGAATAGTGCTGGGAGTGGCTGGCCATGGTGGGAGTGGTACTGGGAGTGGCTGGCCATGGTGAGAGTGGTGCTGGGAGTGGCTGGCCATGGTGAGAGTTGTGGTAGGAGTGGCTGACCATGCTGGGAGTAGTGCTGGGAGTGGCTGGCCATGGTGGGAGTAGTGCTGGGAGTGGCTGGCCATGGTGGGAGTGGTGGTCCCAGCAGTCTGGGAGCAGGGGGCTCAGATTACAGCCGGCCCCTGGTTGTATAACTGTCTGAGCACGTGGTGGGGAGACACTGGGAGGAATTTACCAAAACATCCCAATCCCGGAGTTAAAATAACTCAATTCATTAACCTGTGCAGTGCCAGCTGTGTCCCTCAATGGAGGATCCATTAACCCGTGCAATGCCGGATCCCCTGGGTATTAACCCGTGCAATGCCGGATTAACCATTTCAATGCATCCTCTCATGCTTGTAACATTTCCTGGACATGACCCTTCTAAATGCATACAGGTATTTACTAGGAATTAACCCTTGCAGTGACTGTCTAACATTTACGATGAGGTATTGACCCTTTCAGTGCTGGATTCACAGGACACACAAGCAGTGAATTCTCTATAGACATTAACCCCAGCACCAACATACTGGATGAATCAATAGCTGGAGAAAGAGGACTTTTATTAACCTTCTGCCTGCCAATACCCGGAATCATGCCCCCCTTTATTCCTCCCAGGGAGTCACTTTGGGGGTTCTCACATTACCTGGATTTCATGGATGCGACTGAAGCCATCTCTCCAGAAAAACTCCAGCAGGTTGGTCAGAGTGCTGGGGCCCGGCATGTCCTCCAAACTCTTCACCAGAGGGGCCCCCCTCACCTCCTGTGCAGGGCACCCCCTGGATGTACCCCTCCTGCCCCCCTCCACATCCTCCCTCACAGCCTGACCTGCAGCCCCCATCCTGGGGAATTGGTGAACACTCCTGCAGCCCCCCAAAACTTCCACCCCCCAAACCTGCCTTAAGCAGTGCCCTAGGAGAGCCATGACTATCAGATACTGACTGAGAGTAACAATGTATCACTCGCTGCACTCTCTCTGTATAGCACACTGTATCACTCACTGCACTCTCTGTATCACTCACTGTACTCTCTGTATAGCACACTGTATCACTGGATGCACTCTCTCTGTATCGCACTCTGTATCACTCACTGCACTCTCTGTATAGCACACTGTATCACTCACTGCACTCTCTCTGTATAGCACAATGTATCACTCTCTGTATAACACTATCACTGGATGCACTCTCTATAGCACTCTGTATCACTGGATGCACTCTCTCTCTCTCTCTAGCACTGTACATCACTCACTGCAGTCGCTCTATAGCACTCTGTATCACTGGCTGCAGTCTCTCTATAGCACTCTGTCTCTCCAAGTACCAGCTCCTTTCCCCCTGCTAGACTCTGCTGGCTGGCATCAGTTTACAGACCATTATTAAAGGCTCCCTCCCCCTATGGCTGGGGAAAGGGGTGGTGGTCAGGGATGTGACATGGGAGACTGAATCAATAGTCTGCTGTGTGTATTTTTTTTATTTTAATCAAATTGGAATGAAAGAGTTTAACCCCTTCGTGACCTGAACCCTCTACTAGACTGCACCCCCACTTGGAATGAGCTGGGATTAGCCAACTGAATGGCATTATCTGTATGGGTTCCACCCCCATCATTTCATACCACAAATCTGCTAGACACGTGTATGTAGGGTACCTACCTGTCTGAATTAACCCTTAGGTGGCTGGGAGGTTGCAGTCTGACCATGGAGCTACTGTGGGTTTTAAAAAGCCCTTCTACAGAATCCAAGTGTTAATGTTAATTTCCATCACTTGGAAAAACTGCAAGAATAATGAAATGTTATCAATGTTTGCAGCCAGAAAGATTGTCAGCTCTTTGGTCTAAAGACAGCTTCAAACAGGTAAACATTTATAACTTTGTTTGGAAATGCTTGATTTCTTTCTTCAATACAAAATAGTTAAGAAATGTAACTATTTATTATTGTTTCATGGGGAAAATAAAGGGTTAATGTTGCAAATTATGTTCAAATTAGAAAAAAATCTATAGATTTTTAAAACCAGTCATAGCTACATTAGCTGCATCAAACTGTGTTTTTTGTAATATATTATATTTCCATAACTATACACAGCATTCAGATTGGCCATTGTTGTTTTATTGGGTCGTTTGTTTACAAAACTCTACACTTATGAAAATAAAAACATATTTTAAATAAACATTTAACCATTTTTATTTATCAAACGTGGTTCTTGTTTAATAAGTGATCAATTTGCAATGTCTACCGTTTGTTTGTTGACTGAGACAATAGGTAGAGGGTCCTGCTTAAAAAGCTCACACAAGCACAAATAAACTGCAGCTATAAATATATTGATTATTATTCATATTATCCACAACAGGCGTTTATTGTGCCAATCACAGTAGTTGGGTTTTGTTTAGACTTATACGCATACCACCCAAGTGTCTCTATTTAGGAGGGACAGTCCCTATTTTATCCCTCCATCTCCCTTTTCTATCCTAAGATAACTTTTCTAGGAGCTCCATATTGTTGGTGTGCCTAAGTGTATAACAGAGCTTTACAGCAATAATACTCCCAGTAATGTGTCTGAGTGTATAACAGAGCTCCACAGCAATAATACTCCCAGTAATGTGTCTGAGTGTGTAACAGAGCTCCACAGCAATAATACTCCCAGTAATGTGTCTGAGTGTATAAAAGAGCTCCACAGCAATAATACTCCCAGTAATGTGTCTGAATGTATAGTGGAGCTCCACAGTAATAATACTCCCAGTAATGTGTCTGTGTGTATAACAGACCTCCACAGAATAATACTCCCAGTACTGTGTCTGAGTGTATAACAGAGCTCCCCAGCAATAATACTCCCAATAATGTGTCTGGGTGTATAACAGAGCTCCACATCGACAATACTCCCAGTAATGTGTCTGAGTGTATAACAGAGCTCCACAGCGATAATACTCCCAGTAATGTGTCTGTGTGTATAACAGAGCTCCACAGTAATAATACTCCCAGTAATGTGTCTGAATGTATAGTGGAGCTCCACAGTAATAATACTCCCAGTAATGTGTCTGTGTGTATAACAGACCTCCACAGAATAATACTCCCAGTACTGTGTCTGAGTGTATAACAGAGCTCCCCAGCAATAATACTCCCAATAATGTGTCTGGGTATATAACAGAGCTCCACATCGACAATACTCCCAGTAATGTGTCTGAGTGTATAACAGAACTCCAGCAATAATACTCCAAGCAATGTGTCTGTGTATAACAGAGCTTCACGGCAATAATACTCCCAGTAATGTGTCTGAGTGTATAACAGAGCTACATAGCAATAATACTCCCAGTAATGTGTCTGAGTGTATAACAGAACTCCAGCAATAATACTCCAAGCAATGTGTCTGTGTATAACAGAGCTTCGGCAATAATACTCCCAGTAATGTGTCTGAGTGTATAACAGAGCTACATAGCAATAATACTCCAAGCAATGTGTCTGTGTATAACAGATCTTCACAGTAATAACTCCCAGTAATGTGTCTGAGTGTATAACAGAGCTCCACAACAATAATACTCCCAGTAATGTGTCTGAGTGTATAACAGAGCTCCAGCAATAATACTCCCAGTAATGTGTCTGGGTGTATAACAGAGCTCCACATCGACAATACTCCCAGTAATGTGTCTGAGTGTAAAACAGAGCTCCACCGCAATAATACTCCCAGTAATGTGTCTGATTGTAAAACAGAGCTCCACAGCAATTATACTCCCAGTAATGTGTCTGAGTGTGTAACAGAGCTCCACCGCAATAATACTCCCAGTAATGTGTCTGTAGACTACAATAAATGTGTTTAGAAATCAGTCTGTGTAAATAAGATACATTGTTCTTGTTATAAATTACATTTTAGTTCTATAAATTGTTATTAAGTCACCGAAAATTTCTCGAAACAGCCCCGCCCCTGGCCACACCACTACAATCAAAGTGTTCCTCTTCGTCCATTTAAAATGTTGGGGCATAAGTGTCTGTAGAACGCTGAATTAATGAATCAATTAAGGAGCTCATTAATTGATTTCCCTCCTGTATCGTATTAATTATGCATGTTCAAGGGCAGCACCTTTCCTGCATTGGCCCCCAGAATGAAGAAACGATGTGTCCGAAAAAACATTATGGACCCGCTGTCCCCACTGCCATAGCACTCCAATCACCGCTTGTTTTCATGAACATATCACTTGCATATATTGATGGGCAGAGCATGAAGAGCGCTTCCCTGAAATATACTAAAATGCACTTACTGTATCAATAAGGCAATATTTGGGAATTATTATTTTATTTATTTTTTTCCACGCTTTCCGTTTAAGCCGTACAAACATTACCTGCCGTGTTGTCAGGAAAATGTTGTTAATCTGGCAGGTCTGGGCGTTGATTAATTTACTAGCATACTTAGCACACTATCCCAGAATGTTATTAAAATTATAAAGGTTTTTTGTTTTTTTTGTACAGACTCCACACAGTGAACATGGAGAATGGCGCCATTTATTATTGTCCATTTAATTGTACCCGGCACTGTTTGACTTTGGATACTGTACCCATTTCTAACTGCCATTCCTGCTTCACTGTGCATTTGGATCCTCGTTCTCAATAAAAATGTTGCTAAAAAAAAGGATGTTAAATTAACCTGGAGTGTCTCTTTAAATGTTCTAATTTGGGATGAGTGCTTGGTGAATGAACTTGGCCCTTTCAGAAACACAAAAGATTTTACCCCCATCATCTTTGGTTTTTAAAAACTATGATAATCCTGTCATGTTGTTGCTCCTTAAGGGTTGAATGGGACACATGAAAGGGGTTAGCCACATGTAACTAAATTCAAAGGGTAAGATTTGCATGTTTTGTACTGGGCTCACACGCATGCTGCATGTAAATTCTATTATTCTATCATAATGTCTGCTGCTTGATCTCTCTCCGCTCCTACGACCTCAAAAAGCAGGAAAAAATAAAAAAAGAGTGTTTGAATCTGGTGGCCAGAGGCATCACATTGTCCTGGATATCTGTTTTTGTATGTATAGACTTACACCCAGGGACGTATCTTACACGAGGCAAACAAGGCATCTGCCTTGGGTGGCACTTTGCAGGGGGCGGCAAACAAATCCGCCCCCAAACTTCCTGGCAGATCCCTTGCTTGCCTCGTGTCCTGGGGGGCTCAGCTGGCCACTTGGCAACTTTTGAACACCCCCTGAGGCGGTGGCGGGCAGCGAGGGAGCATACTCACCTAAGCTCTTCCTGCTCAGCTCCCTCCGCGCCACTTAATGGAGCCGGAATATGACGTCAGACCGGCTCCCGGCATCACTAAGCGGTGTGCGAGGGTTCTGAGCAGAAAAATCAGAGCTCTCTCGCCGCCCCCTCCCTGCCTGCCCGTCCAGCAGCCCTACTGGACAGGTAATCCAATGCAGCTCTCCCAGGGAGGCTGGGTGGATTTAAAATAAAAAATAATTTGTGAGTGTTTGGGGGAAATGTCTGTGAGTGAATGTGTGTGTCTGTGAGTAAATGTGTGTGTGTGTGTCTGTGAGTGAATGTGTGTGTGTGTCGGTCAGTGAGTTTATGCATCTGTCACTGTGTGCGTCTGTCAGTGAGAGTGTGCGCCTGTCAGTGTGTGTCCGAGTAATAGTGTGTGTCTGTCTATCAGTGTGTCAAACCAGTGAGTGTGTGTGTTTGTCAGTGTATACGAGAGTGTGTGTGTGTGTTAATGAGTGTATGTATCTATCAGTGAGTGTGTGAGAATGTCAGTCAAAGTTCGGCCTTGACTGGAAGGGGTGGGGGAAATTTAAATTAAGGCGGGGGGGGGGGGGCCTGAGCACCATCCTGCCTAGGGCAGCACAAATCCTAAATACACCACTGCTTACACCCTGCTGTATGTAGAATTCATATGTTGAGAAATCAGTTGATCGTAGAAGAGTTGGAAAGGAACCGCCTTGGTTTATGGATGTCTCTCCCGCCATATTCTGCAGTGCACTTATCGATATTTGTTTCTTAATTACAATGTTTCCAAAGGCATATAGAAAGTAATAAAGCTGGACGGGCACATTGTATACATTATTTACCCTCTGTTGCCTGTCACTCAGCCACTGCCTTACCCATTCGACAATATTTGAATCCAAACTTAAAGATTGCAGTTTATTGATAAGCCTTCTATGTGCAACAGTGTCAAAAGCCTTACTGAAATCGAGGTAAGCAATGTCTACTGCACCACCCTGATCTATAATTTTAGTTACCCAATCAAAAAAACAATAAGATTAGTTTGGCATGATCTCCCTGAAGTAAACCCATGTTGTCTCTGATTTTGAAATCCATGTGATTTTAGATGTTCATCAATCCTCTCCTTTAACATGGTTTCCATCACTTTCCCCTCTCCTTTTATTCGCTGCCCATCACCATGAACAATATACATGTCCTGCAACATTGCATCCCTCTGCTTGATGTATATAAATGGTGAGAAATCTGGGTTGAAATCCGCCAGTCTCATTTTATGGTATAAAAAAACACACAAATAAGGGCTGGACAAAATGTTTATATTCACAAATAAAGATATTCATAAGTCAACTTCTTCAAGCTGGTCAATCCAAAAACACATGGGGAAAAAAAGGATACACAGAACTGGAGAATTGGTTTACCCACGTAGTGGAGTGCCCAAGCTGACTGTGTTGGCTGTGCGTGATGGGAGTCAAGAGTGGTGACTGAGCTGCAATCAATAGTAGAGACGTACTGGATACCGAACTCACAGAATAACACAGGTACTCTGAGCCAGGGCTGGCCAGGCCTCCCTTCCAAGATA